GGTCTCCAGCCGCGCCAGCTGCAGCCCGGGCCCCAGCCTCGCTGTCCCGCCCGGGCCTGCCGGGATGGGCTCGGGCCCGGCCCCGGCCCCGGGCTGAGCGCGCGGCAGAGCCCGCATCCCCGCATCCCCGCTGCCCACGTCGGGGGCGCCTGGGAGGGAAGCTGCGCTGGGGAGTGGGTGGGTCGCGAGGGGCTCCCTGCCCGGGGTGAGGGGTGTGCTGGGAGAGAGAGGGCCCCAGGGTGCCAGGCTGCCCCGCGTGGGCACCGTTGCACCCCCTCTCTTCAGTGCTTCCCGCCTGGCCGGGCCATGCTAGAGAGGGCCAGCTCCCTGCGGGTCGAGTGCGGGCGGGATGGCTAGGACTAGCCTCTAGGACAGACCCCACCTAGCAGTCGCTTCTCTCCATCACCCTGTCCAGGTCCCTAGTCTAGGGCTGCTGGGTCCTCCCTCTGCCCCTCCCCTCCTCACCCCCTCCCCAAGTCACAAGTTTTCTCTTTGGGGCTTGTTGCTGCAGTCCCTGCTCCAGTACCGAGTACCTGCTGGGCCCTGGGCACGCAGGGGCCGTAGCCCCACTGTGTGTGGGAGCCATGAGGATCCTGGCTAACAAGACAAGGTGTGTGGGTGACATGGAGGGTGGGACGTGTGTGTGGAGTGTGGGGAAGGGAGGGGCCCAGGAGCCATGGGGCTGAGCTGTGCTGGCTTGGGGATCCGGCCTCCCTGGCACCCAGCTCAAGGGGGGTCCGAATGGGAAGGCCTGCCCTGAGCCAGGAGCCCAGCCGAGTGCCTGGACCCAGGGGGCAGGGGAATGGCAACCAGCTAGGCCTGCTGTGTAGTCCCTTCAGCCTTTCCTGCTGAGAAACAGTTTGAGTGGAACCCCTACCTCCCACCCCACTGTGGGTCCCCTGGTGCTCTCTGGCCCCAGTCTTGCTGGGAGGGGGTGGCCAGCCTTCCTCCCTTCCCCAGGAGGAGCCTGCAGACAGGCCAGGCGGCTGCAGGACAGCGGAGCTGAAATAAATCTGAGCCGGTGTGGAATGAGGGGATAAATATCCTCTCCCAGTGATGTGATCTTTCCAGCGGCTATTAATAGGTCTCCGGGGATGGGGAGGTGGTGGGGGGAGCCAGCCGGATCTTAAAGGGCCCACAGCCTTGGAATCCTTGGCTGTGAGCTGCACTCCAGTCTGCTCCACACACCACTCCCCTTCCCCCTTCTTCCTGCTCCCGCCTGCCCACCAGGCCTCTGGAGGCTTCCCCTCCCGCCCGCTCTGGGGAGCTGTCTGGACCAGTGGGTACCAACCACTCGGTGGTGCTTTCCCCACTTCCCCGGGGACCAGGGCTGGGCATGAGTAGTGACCCTCAGGTCTTGTGCCCCCCCTGTTGGTGCTGGGACACGTGGAAGTTGAGGTTTGGGACCTTGGAAGGAATGCAGACAGCAGACCCTAGAAAAGAGGATGCTAATGTTGGTCAGGTGCTAGTGTGTGAGGGTGGTGGTGCCTGGAGGCTTGCAGCCTGAGGGGTGTTGGGGTGTGGGTGGATCTGCCAGGAAAGGCTCTGGTTTTCATTTGAATTGTGGGGACTGAGGGTGGAGGGTGCCCCATCTTCACTCTCCAAGGTGAATGGCATCAGCCCTTGTCTGAGCAGCAGGGGAAGGAGGTCGGAATAAGCTGGGCATCTTAAGATGCCACTCAGCCCTCCCTCCCCTCCCAGTAGGTGAGGCAGGAGGGGCAGGCGTGCTAAGCCCCTGTCACGATTAACCTTTCCTGTCTCTCTCGCCTTCTCCCAGGTTGCCCCACCCCAGGAGGAGAGAAGCTCCAGGGAGCCCACCACTGTCCCCCCGTGGCCACTGCCCCCCTGCCCCATCCAAACCAATGCACCCAGAAAATAAGCTGACCAATCATGGCAAGACAGGGAATGGTGGGGCCCAATCCCAGCACCAGAATGTGAACCAAGGACCCACCTGCAACCTGGGCTCGAAGGGTGTGGGGGCGGGGAACCATGGGGCCAAGGCCAACCAGATTTCACCCAGCAACTCCAGTCTGAAGAACACCCAGGCCCAGGCCGGGGTGCCCCCTTTCAGCTCGCTCAAGGGCAAAGTGAAGAGGGAGCGGAGTGTGTCTGTGGACTCTGGAGAGCAGCGTGAGGCTGGGACGCCCTCCCTGGACTCAGAGGCCAAAGGTACCCCCTTTTCTGACCCCCAGGAGTCCAGCATGTTCGACAGCCCATGGCCCACATTGCGCGGAGCCCATCTTTCTGTCCCCTTCCCAGGCCTCATCCCCTGCTTCTCTCCAGCATGTATGTGGGGACACCTTTCTGTTACCCCATTACACCCACCCACCGGTGGTGTTCTCAGGATTGGGAGTGGCCGGGGGGGAGATTTGTCATCCTTAGGTGCCACCCATGCTGGGGCCACCCAGTGGTGGGGTTCCCGGTCAGTCTTTTCCTCTCCGGCTGTCCCGCCAGAACCTCCAGGGGAGGAGGAAGGTGCTCCGTGAGGAGGAGCAGGCCCACACCCCCGGGAGCCTCCTGGCTCTGGGCTGGTGGGAGCTGCTGCAGCCACTAGCCTGGAAGAGTAGCAGAGGCCTCCCCCTCCCCCGCCCCAGCCTTAATTAGAACCAGTTGTGCTTGGTGCTGGTTGGGGGAGGGGAGGCAGGCCATGGGGCTGTAGAGAGAAATCAGGAACAAATGGTGGTGTGGTGGGGGCCAAGGGCTGGCGAAATGCCCACCACAGCCTGGGCATCGCCCTGGGGTATCTGGGAGAATGGGCCTGGAGGTGGAGGACAGGCTGAGGTACTCACTCTGACCAGCAGAGGTGGCACCCCGGAGCAAGCGGCGCTGTGTGCTGGAGCGGAAGCAGCCGTACAGCGGAGACGAATGGTGCTCAGGACCAGACAGCGAGGAGGACGACAAGCCCCTCGGGGCCACCCACAGTGAGTGCCCATCATGCCAGGGTGCTGTGGCCCACGCTGCCCTTGGGGGATGGCTGCCCTAAGGGAGCCTTCCTCCCTTCACCTCGGGCTTCAGAGTGCTGAGCCTGGGCAGACAGGGAGCAAGGGTCAGGAGCCCAGGCTCCTTCTTTCTAATCCCACCTCCAGACTGTTGCTCCCTGCACTGTGACAGCTCTGCCCCTGCCTTCCAGGTGCTCAGTGCCCCCCTTCTCCTAAGGACCAAGGCAGGGTGGGGTGAACCTCAGGTGGCCCCTCCTGGCTCTTCCACTTATACCTCCATGAATTGCTGGCCTGTGCTGCCACCTGCTGGTCAGTGGAGGGAGGACAGCGAGAGTCCAGCATCACTTGGAGTGGGACAGTTGGCTCTGATGTCCAGGCCGTTCCGGGGTGTGAGCTAACACTGGCTGTGTCTCTGGCGCACCTCCCTGACCTTTAACTGACTCCTGGCAGGTGCCCAGAACACATCACCAGGACAAAGTGTGGGTGGGTGGGTGCCCACTCCTCTTATTCTGGGCATGTGTTTGGCCTTGCCCCAGGGATGCGGGGAGAACCAGACATAGCCCTGCCCTTGGGGTGCCCATGCACGTTTATTTGGTGCTTTCCCTCAAAGCTTACAGCTGTTCTTTTTTTTTGGGGGGCGGGGGGAGGTGAAACAGCTTAATGCATAAGAAACTCCAGAGAATGTTCAATCGTGAATTTGTTGAAGGCAGGGGCTTAGAAGGAATGAAGAAAAAAAACTAAGCTGGCTAAACTTCCTACTGTGTGGTATTCAATCCTTAGACCAGCCCTGCAAGGCAAGTGTGATTATGGTGCCTGCCCCAGAGGAGGAAGCAGACTCAGCAGATGCTTGTGGAATGAGGGACTGTGTCCATGGAGGTGGCACATAGATCAAATACTGAATGAAGCCTGTGCGGCTGGCTGGGACTTTAAAGGCCATCTGGTCCCACGTCTCCCCAAAGGGACTGACTCTCGGTGCATGAGCCCCTGGCTGAACCCTTCCCTGGTAGATGAGGGTGGTCACTGCCTCTAAGGACAGATACCCCTCCTCTATCTTATTCACTTTTTAAAAAGTAATTTTTAAAAATTGATTTCAGAGAGGAAGGGAAAGGGAGAGAGAGATAGAAACATCAATGATGAGAGAGAATCATTGATTGGCTGCTTCTGGCAACCTGGGTGTGTGCCCTGACTGGTTGGTAATCGAACCATGACCTCCTGGTTCATAGGTCAACACTCAACCACTGAGCTACGCTGGTTGGGCTGTCACATTGACTTTTATGATGCTAGCCTGCACCATTGTAAAAATGCGGGGAGACACTGGGAAATACAGAGAAGATGTTGCTAACACCTCATACTCAGTTCCAAGGCAACCATTAGTACTATTTTAGTTGTACTGCCTGCCACTAGATTCTCAAAGAGTTCTTTTTGTTTTAAATATGTTCTTTTTACATTTATTTTTAAAATATATTTTATTGATTTTTTTTACAGAGAAGAAGGGAGAGGGATAGAGAGTTAGAAACATCGATGAGAGAAAAACATTGATTAGCTGCCTCCTGCACACCCCCTACTGGGGATGTGCCCGCAACCAAGGTACATGCCCTTGACCGGAATCGAACCTGGGACCTTCAGTCCTCAGGCCAATGCTCTATCCACTGAGCCAAACCAGCCAGGGCTAAATATGTTTTTATTTATTTATTTATTTTTTTTTGAGAGAGAGAGAGAGAGAGAGGAAGGGAAGAGGGATAGAGATATAAAAACATCGATGAGAGAAACATCATCAATTGGCTGCCTTCTGCACGCTCCTCTCTGGCATGTGCCCTGACTGGGAATCGAACTGTGATCTCTTGGTTTCTGAGTCAATGCTCAGCCACTGAGCCATGCCAGCCAGGCTCTCAAAGAGTTCTTAATGGTGGGGCAGTATAATACAGAGTGAATAGCACAGACTCTTCATTCAGACCACCTTGGTTTATAGCCCAGGTTTTCACTAATTATTTGTATAAATTGGGGAAAGGGCCTTGGTTTATTCACCTATAAAAATATTTACCTCATAGGGTTGATATGTGGTGAGTTGGTACATATAACACACTTAGAACAATGTTAGTTTTTCAGAGAGGAAGGGAGAGGGAGAGAGAGATAGAAACATCAATGACGAGAGAGAATCATTGATCGGCTGCCTCCTGCACATCCCCTACTTGGGATTGAGCCCACAACCTGGGCATGTGCCCTGACTGGGAATGAACCAGTGACCTCTTGGTGCATGGTTCAATTCCGACGCTCCACTGCTGAGCCATACTAACTAGGCCCCGGTGGTTTTTTAGCTTGTGACTTGCTTTTGAACTTGTTACAAAAAATAGATTTCTTTGACTACCCCTTAGGCAGGACAGGAGAATTGAGGCTGAGAGGGACTAAGTGTCTTGTTCATAAGGTTACACAGCCAGCTAGTTAGTGGTAGGGCTAGTTAGTGGTGAAAAATCACTCATCGCCTGAATCCTCAGTTGGTGCACCCTTTTTGCCTTCTCCCCTCGCAGAGACCAGGGCATGAGGATGGAGCAGGGCTAAGAGCAGGTTCCGCAGACTCTGTGGGCGTCGCATTCGGGGTGCCAAACCTTTCCCTTTCTTCTCATCCACATGGTCCCCACGATTGCCATCCTGGCCAAAGACTGGTCTAGGGCAAGTACGTGTGGAAAGCAAGCTAGGGAAACCACCAGAGTGTGGCAGCAAAGGGCCCGTGGGCACCACCTTCCACAGTGAACCTTTCCCTTGGCGCCTCTGGGTGATGGGGGTGCCAGCTAGTTCTCCTTTCTAAATCTGGACTGCTGACCCTCTTTCCTTCCCTTCCCTGCAGATTGTAATGTAGGAGACCCTGCCATGGCGGCCCCACAGCTGGGTCCCGGCCAGGCTCCCCAGCTTCCCCTCAGTGAGGGCAGTGCCCCAGGCCCCCCGCATGGGCCCCCAGCAGCCCTGCGGCCAGATGCCTCCGGGGGCAGTGGTGTCCCCGGAAAGCCTCCCTCACAATTCGTGTATGTCTTCACCACCCACCTGGCCAACACGTAAGTGCCTCGCAGACTGCACTAGCTCTCTTTACCCAGCAACCTGGAGCCTGGGGTCCCGCGGGAGTGTCTGTAGGGCCAGGGTTGGTTTGGGTTCGGTTGGTTGGGTCGAGTTGGTTGGGTTGAGTCGGGTTGGGTTGGGTTGGTTGGATTGGCTTGAGTTGGTTGGGTTGGATGGTTAGGTCGGGTTGGGTTGGTTGGGTCGGGTTGGGTTGGTTGGGTAGGGTTGGTTGGGTTGATTGGGTTGGGTTGGGTTGGTTGGGTTGGGTTAATTGGGTTGGGTAGGGTTGGTTGGGTTGAGTGGGTTGGGTTGGGTTGGGTTGGGTAGGGTTAATTGGGTTGGGTAGGGTTGGTTGGGTTGATTGGGTTGGGTTGATTGGGTTGGGTAGGGTTAATTGGGTTGGGTAGGGTTGGTTGGGTTGCCTTGGGTTGGGTCGGGTTGATTGGGTTGGGTTGGGTTGATTGGGT